CTTTCTCTTTTTCTTTCTTTTCCCTTCTCTCTTTGGCTTCTTTTTCTCCTTCTTCCAATGTGATTCTTCACCACCAGTGTCCACCAGATTCTTCACAGCCCACCCCCCTCAGCGCTTCACTACCCTTTTTCAGTGAGTGCTGGGCCCGGTGATTGTGTGGCAGGGGCAAAGAAGAAGAATACGGCAAACATTTTTGCACCGAAATCACATCTGACACATCAAACTGTACAAAAGGTGTGTGTGTGTTTGTTTAAGTGAGGTGGTGGTGACGGTGGTGGTGGTGGTGGTGCCACACTCACTTAAAGCCAGAGTGTTTCAACGGCAATTTGTGTCAGCCTGTGTGCCAGTGTGTCCTTCTTTCCATCCGCTGCGACCATCTGTTGCCGCATCACCAGGCAGATTTGGCTCTCCTCTTACTGAAACATATTTCGTCTCACCAACAACAACCCAGCACCGGCAACTTCATCTGCACACCTTCCTTCACAACATTCCACTAGTGTCCACTTTTATTACCCTAATACTGGTCAATACCTAGAGTACAAATGGTAAGTCTATTTTGTTTTTTTGAAGTTTTGTTTTGTTTCCCATTCGTCCATGTTTTATGGCTTTTTGTTTGTTGTAATTGAGCAATTACGCCAATCATTTTAACTGAGTTTTATGCTAGTGAAGCAAAACGATTGCAATGAAGTTTTATTATAAAAATAATCAATGAAACTGCTTCTTTACTGCCTTTTGACAGCTTGACAGTTTTAGAGTGATTACAAATGGTTGTTTACTATTGAAAGATTATATTGTAATTGTGTTTTAATTGTTAAATATTTTTGTTGTAGAATTGTTGAAATTGTGGAAACGTACATTAGTAGTTTTAGATTAAAACTTGGCACAAACAAACGGAAACAACATTAAAAACGCATTTTTCTATTGGTTTTTACAATGCAGTTATTATTTTAAAACATCATTTCACCATAGTACAACAGCTTACATTAGTCAGGTACTGTGCCCTTTTATATTTCAATTTAGTTAACCAAAGAGATAACACCTTAGAGATCGATACATTTCAAGGTTATAATATTTTTGCCTAGTAATTCAATGACACGACAAGAAAAGTGTGCGTGTGTGTGTGAATGTGCGCAAGTTATACGTGACTGCTTTACTGTTTCTTCAGTACTTATTTTCAGAATTTTAATGCCTAGTGCTAATTGCTTAATTGCTGCTTTTTACTCACTTTGGTGCCAAAGTAGTGTCCTGATAGGTAGCGTTCTTTCATTGCTGAAATGGAGCATCTTGAATCGGCAAAGGCAAACAGTGATGCTCTTCCAGTGGTCATTGGCATCTCAATTGAAGAAGACGATCTAGATGACTTGCACACTGAGTCACCTAGGTCACCAAAAGTGGGCACTCTTGTCGACCAGTTTTCCCATAGAGGCAATGGCTCACAGTCCTACTCTAGGAGTTCATCCACCGGCGGTATGAGTCCGATAGATATTTTTAGGGGTTTTTACGGTTTTTGGGAAACTTGGTGACTGGTACTTTCTGGGGACGCATGTCAGTTGGTGTGAATTGTTATGATTTCTATTTCAAACGCTCATTTGTTTTGTGGTTTTGGTTTTGCGGTTTTTTTAAAATGATTTATATAAATTAAAAACATTTTTTTTGTTTTCACAACACAGAGCACGAGACAGTTCAAAAGAAAGCATTTACAAAGTGGCTCAACTCTCATCTTTTAAAGGTATTTTAAAGCAAACTTTTTGCTATTTTAAGAGCCATTTTGTTTAATACTACTTTTTTTGTTTGTGCTTTGATAAACTTAAATTGCAGAAAGGTTACCCGTTGATCAGCGACCTGTACCACGACTTGCGTGACGGCACTATTCTCATTGCTCTTCTCGACGTTCTCTGTGACACTAAAATCGTAAGCGGCTACACACCATCACCACTTTACTATTTACCTTGTGATCATCAGCTCAACCTTACTTATTTTACCAATTTGCTGTATTACTCTTGATTACTCCTGCAACACCTAGAAACTCGAACGAGGTCGCCTACGTGTACATCATTTGAATAACGTCGCACGAGCACTACAAGTACTAGGTGATCGCCAGGTTAAACTAGTGAACATCAGCACCAATGACATCGTCGATGGTAACGTCAAGTTGACACTTGGACTACTATGGTGCATCATTCTTCACTGGCAGGTAAGTTCAAATACTCGAATGAGACAAACCTTTTGCAATTTTAAGATATGTTTTTGAGAGTCAATCAAACCTGAGTGGAGTTGACAAAACATCATTTGATCAAGCGCAGTTCAATGTATTCTTTGCCTAGCTTTACCTTTTCTGCAGGTTCATAGCTTAATGATTATAAAGTTGTTTTCCAGTACCTTGTAATTAGTGAGTTGATCAGTTTCAACCTGTCATTTCATTCCGCTATCTGTCACACTACTATTACCGTTCAAAAAGTCAAACACTAATTAATGTCAACCGGTTCATCAGCACTCGTTTGCCAACGATTCGGCAGCAGCGTCAACAAAAACAACAGCAGCTCATCATTGACACTTTCAACTGAGTCATTAGCTTAGCCAAGTTTGCACTTTGCCCTCAGTTTTTGAGCTGCTGCTCCAGCCCAATGAACTCAAGTGAACTACCTCTGCGGAATGTTTACCTTTATTGAGTTAGACCAAACAGCCGGCACAGAAGATAGCCCATTGCTCACTGTTTTCATTTTCCTAACAAAAAAAGTGCCGCCGCACTGCCGTCCGTGTGAGTTGTGTGAACGAGTACACTTGCAAAAAAGTTCTGCCGCGCAGCGTTTATTACCGCCGGCATCAATCCCTTTTTTCGCTTCCTTCATCAACGCTGCTTTTTTCCTATGTCCGTTTTCTTTGAGTAAGTTTTTGTGTGGGTGGCAGGCACTGCGCAAGCAAATAGACAAATGCATCAATTTGTTAGCACATCAGCTAGCATAAATAGCAAAGTCTATGAACTAGTCTTTTTGGAGAAAACGGGAAACATCCTAAAGCAGTAGTTACTGGACAACTCAAAACGATTACTATCAGATGTAGTTTTTCTGCATAATGTTCGGCTAAAAAAATAAATGTTTTTCCTGCTGTTTTTTCATTCATTTAATTGGTTTTTTTATTTTCTAAACTTATAAAAAATTATTGATTGTTATTTAAAGATGAAAACACTATTTAAAATTTCATAAAATTTCATTTTAGTTGTTATTGTAGTAAAATTTTAGTTATGAGGAGATACTTAACATTTTAATAGACTTTTACTAAAACTTAATTTAAATTGTGTTTATTGTTTCTGATCATCTATTGTTTTAACTTTTTCATTGTTTTGCATTGCCGTTTAATACCATGTGCAAAACTAAAATTTTTTCTATTAAAGCATTTATCATGCAGATTTTCAAATAAACACATAAAACAACAACAATAATAATAACACTATTGGCCAGTTAGTTGCATTATTTGCAGGCACTTAAACATACATTTTATTACCCCAATATTAACTCATTCTTACTGTTTTTATTTTTCATTTTTTTTTGCATTTTTGCAGCAAACTTTTGTGCCTGCAGTCGGACAAAATAAAAAGCTGCAGATGGAAACGTGCGTTTCTTTTTGATGTTAAAGCAGCAGCAGCTACAGCTACCATTGGCACAATGCATTACCACCTGCAGGTGCTGAAATGCTGGCAATTGCTTGCAGGCCAAGTGGTAACCATAAGCTTACACAGCTCAATCCCCTTTCCTTTCTTTTCCTCTTAACCCACTTTGACAGCAGTAGTCTCGGTGGTAGTACCTTTGCGGTTAAATGGTAATGCCTTCATCATCATCATCATCGCAGAGACAAATAGCTGCATGCACTTTTGACAGTTTGCGATAGCTTACCCAAAACGGCAAAAAGGGAAAGGCAGAGTAGAAGCAACAGCAGTCACTTGTGTTCAGTTCACAGGTGCCGGGTGGTTGCCTCATTTATTGCAGCTTCTATCCTATCCTATCAGACGGCAACGGGAAAGAGAGATTGTTTTACCTAACTTTGTAATGCTTTGATGCTAATCAGTATCAGAACAAAACAGTACTCAAACAGAGACGCGCACAGACATTCGGCTGGCTGGCTGGCTGTTGGTATGACAAACGGCCACAAGTCAACAAACGCCGGCTGATTAGATAGGGATGAGATGGTGACGGAGATGGTGAAGAAAACAGTTTTTGTGTCTTGTGTTTGGTTTGCCAGAGAATAAAATAAAAAATGCTAAATCTTATGTGACAGCAACTTATCATTAAGTTTGATTTTAATACCCACCCAGTAAGTAGTTTGCAATTGATTCATTATTACAAACCTTTATTTGTCGAGCACACATTTAGTGGTGACTTAGCAGTGTAGCTTGTTTATTTAATTTAGTGTTTTTAAATTCCAATTAGTGTATTTAATTTAATCTTAATTAGACTCACAACACAACTACTAATTTTCCTAACTACAGCGTTATTTATTGTGTGTATACCGGTTATCAATGTTTTTTGTTTTTAAAATAAACAGGTTTTAAAATTGTTTCAGATTGTTTCAAATTTTCTTTTTTAACTTTTGATCTAACATTAATGCAACTCGTTTTACTCAAATTTTTTTGTTTTTTGCTCATTCTACAGGTGAATCACATTTTCGTCAACTCTACCAACAAACGACTGTTACCAGCATCATCGGCTTTTCCTGACAACCCAACAACGGCAGTTGCTCACCCATTGTCAAGTGCATCATCACCACAGATTACTACTGAATTGAACAACAGTGTTCGACCAAACAGTCAATCAGGTTTCAGTAGTGGTAGTTCTTCGTCCCCTCGGTATTCCTCTCGCATCCCCATCTCTCCGGTGGTACCCCCTAAACCTGAATTTAGTGCTCGAAGCAGAAGCAGCAATAGCAACAAAGGCAATCTCAAACCGTCGCATTTAAATGAACCAAGTACTTTAGTAACCCAACCGGCAGCAGCTCCACTGGGCACAATGTCGCAAAACGATCTCGAGAAAACGTTGCTCTTCTGGTGTCAGGAGGCAACTAAAAACTATGAGGCAGTGGACATAAAAAATTTTACCACCAGCTGGTCAGATGGATTTGCATTTAATGCTCTCATCAATCACTTTAGGTACTGGTGTTTTGGCTGCAAACTGCTATTGTCATTCAATTAACCATGTTCTTGCACTTTCTTTTTGTTTCTACACCAGACCAAACTTGTTCAGCTATGGCGAAGTGTTGGCTATGGAAACCGCCGAGATGCGGTTGCAGCACGCATTTGACCTGGCAGCTAAGCACCTTTGCATTGAGAAGCTGCTTGATCCTGAAGGTTTGTTTTGTTCACACATTTTTTTGTGGTTTCACATTTGACAAATAAGTAACATTTGTATCCTTTTTTCACTTTTTTCCAAGATCTAATCACCCCTCGTCCGGACAAAAAGTCTGTGATGATGTACGTGATGTGCCTTTTTCAGGTGTTGCCCACTCCGGCAACGCCGGCAACCGAAGAGGAACAGCAGTTTGCTGGCAAACACCAATCACCTTCTGGTGGAACTAAAACGGCAACCGATCATCGGCCGAGCGACATTCCCGTTTCAGTGTCTCACTCTGCTCCAAAACCGACGGCAATTCCAAAGGCCGCCGCTCCTAAACGACCACCACCGGCAAGCTCGCACATCCCCGTCCTGTCACCGGATTTTCGCGAAAAGTCACGACCCATCTCCTCAAAACGCGACCCGGCAGACTCCTTCGCCGGGACCTCAAAGAAAATGTGCACCACTAGCTCACTGGAAACAACAAAGGACTCCGGCCATGTGACCGCTTCCTTTTCCGCTTCGACTTCCACAGCCTTTGACGCGGCCACTCTGAACGAGTACCACACCGACATTGAGGACATCCTCACCTGGCTGTTGGGCGCGGAGGAGCAGCTGGACGGCAATGTGGACGCCGATAATGGGCGTTTTGAGGTGGCCGCAGCAAACACTGCCGCCTCCGCCGCCCAACTTGAAGCGGAGCGACACGAACCTCCCAACGCCCTCAATAAACTCCGCCACGAGCGCATCATGGCCACCATTGAGGCGGCCGAGTACGCCAAGCAGCGCTTTGAACAGCACGAGGAGTTTATGCGCCACCTGGCAGACCAGTACCAGAAGATCATTAAGACCTTTGACAAGGGCCAGCAGCTGATCTACAGCAGTGACAAGTCGCTGCGAGGAGGAAAAACTAATCAAGGAGCTGCGCCCAGCTCGGCTGCCAGCTTTGGTGGCTCCACCTCGTCCACCGGTTCCAGCATTTCCGCCGGTTCAGCACCGACAGGCGACACTTCCGCCGCCTTTGACATGGAGTCAAAACGGGTGATCGCCCTGCAGATGCAACTCCTCGACGACCGCTTCAATCAGCTGCGGGCAAAGGCGACCAACCACCAGCACTACCTCCACCAGATGCTCATCAGGACGCAGAATGCGCAGCTGGAGGAGCTCCGTCGGCTGATGACGCAGACGGAGGAACGCATTGCAGTGCTCATTCCCGAACGGTTCGACGAGATGCCCGCCGATGGGCAGTCGCTGACGGCGCAGATCGCCGACTTTGAGCACCTGCAGGAGACGATGCTCGCCGAACAGGGCCTCCTCAATCTCATCTCCAAATTTGTGATAATCGACAATGCTGAAGAGGTGGGCGGCAGCTCAAAAGAGGGCGCCAACTTCCTTGACCAGCTAGAAGCGCTGAATGAGCGCTGGGCAAACGCCTGTCAGATCACCGAAAACCGGGGCAAGTTTCTCCACAAGTTGAACAGGGCTTGGACGAGCTTTGCCGCCGAGGAGGGCCGCCTCTTTGACTGGTTCAACCGGCTGGAGCGTCGTCTGGGGGAGATGGAGGAGAGCATCGACGAGCTGGAGGAGCGGTCAATTTGCCTCGATTCGGCCGCCAAATCGACGACCCTCAGGCAGGAGCGCAAGTTTCTGGAGGACATCAAGAAGCGCCTCGACCGCATGCAGATTGACATCTTCTACGGGACGGAGAAGAGCCACAAAGTGCACGCTGGCAGGGTTGGAGAGGGCGCCGAAATGGGCGCCGCCGAGGATGAGGACGAGCCGCCGACGACGCCTCTCTCGAAGATCACCCAGCTGACGCACGCTCTGCTGGGGCAGTTCAGCAGCGACCAGGGGACCATCTGCTCCACCGTCACCCGCTCCATTGAGACCATTCGCAATCGATGGGAAACGCTGGCCGGGAGAATTGAGCAGGCGACAAAGGTTGTGGTCAAGCGGACGGAACAACTTGATCTGGCCATTCTCCAGCATCCACCAGCATCCGAGGAGGCCCAGGATGAAGTTGACCGCTCGGTGGCGCCTAAGAAGCCACCACGTGAGCTGCCCTTGCTTCAGAAGATGACCACCGCGACTACCACCACCACTACCACTACTGAAGAAACCGTAGTCTCTAAGACTAAAGTGATCTCAGTCAGCCAGTCTGCAAAACAGCCCGCAACCACCCCGACCACCCCAACCACACCCAATCAATCTACTAAACGACGCAAAGTGGACTTCTGCGGCGTCGTTGACTGGCAAAACATGCTCGACTCGATGAGCAAGTGGATTGAAAATATGGAGTCCAGTCTCATTCAACTGTCTGTTTCCGGGGAGCTTTATGAGGGCTTTCCCAAGGGGGCCGTTCACCAGGTTGAGCCGCCGACCACCAGCTGCGGCGATGCCGCGACCAACTTGAAGATGTACTCAGAGTTGGTGGACAAGGCTGGATCAGTGCAGAAGCTGCTTGCGAAGCACTTTGCTACCAGTAAGACGCCCAGTTCCGCTACTATTCAGTCGGAAATTGACCAGCTGGCCAGTATGGAGGGTGACCTGGCAAAGCGGAACAAGGATTTTGAGGACATTGTTCAGCGAGGCGAGAAAATCATCAGTGACTATAAAAATGGTTTGTAGTAAACACCTTTATTCAAACTCTGTAAACTAATTTTTTTATTTGTTACAGCAAACGAAGAGCATGTCGTTTTAGAAGGCGTCCTAGAGACATTCAAAAAGCGCTGGAGCACCCTAAAGTTTGGCTTGGAACGAAGCCAGCTGTACTCGCAGGTTTGGTGCTCTATGCAGTCTATGGTCGAGGAGAGCGCCAACATGAAACACGTGCTAGAAAAGTATCACAAGCGTTTCTCAGAAAATGTGGCCAGCCTAAAGCAGATCACTGAAAAGGAGGCATTTGAAAGCCTACGTCAGCAGGTGGATGTAAGTCAATTTAAAGTTTACAATTTGTGACTGTTTGATAACAAAAAATGCTTTATTTTTCCTGCAGTTATGTTCCATTTCCATTCAAGGACAGTACAGTAAACTGGAAGAGTTTGACGGCAAACTGTCGCAGTTGTATTTGCAAACGCCAGCGTTGTTTTTCTGTTGGCCAGAACAGACAACTGGCGGCAAGAAGAAGTTTGCCTGGAAGCGACTGTCAGCAGAAAAATTCACCACTAAGGTGAACATTGCCCCGTTGCAGTGGAGCTGCTTTCTCCTCTCCATTGATCTTCTTTCACTGCACCAAATTTGGTCCATCATGTCTGACGCCGGTCAGACGCTGATTCAAAGCATTGACGCAGCACTGGAAGGTGATGATATTGACTTGAAACAGGAGACAGAAGACCGCAACACCAGCGCTGAATCAGTGGATGACAAAGAAGCTGATTGGAAACAGAAAGACAACGAGTCATCTGAAGAGCCAGAACAAAGCTCATTTTCGAGCAAAGCTTCTTCAGCATTTTCAGGCAAAGACGACGATGATGATGACATAGATGAAGAGGATGACGATGATGGTAGCCCCACTGAAAAGCTGATGATTGCAATTGAAGCGCTCAATTCGTGGCTGAAAAACGTCATTGACGTCGTCGAGGAGTACGACGAGGACGAGTCTGATGTTGAGGAAGACGAAGAGGAGAAGCAGGAGCAGGAAGAAGATGCTGTTCAACCCGTCTCCCTTGGCTCCAACCGCTCCAAAGTGCCCGGTTCTAAGCTGAAATCTCTGGCCGACCTGGCCAACGCAATTGACAATCGCGTCTACGTGCTGGCAGATTTGCAGAAAACCGTCGACGCGGAGCAGGAGAACTACCACTTTGCCTGCAAGCGAGCGGCGGAGATTATCTTCGGCTCAGCCGCCGTCTCAAATTTAACTTCCTTGTCGGAAATTGAGGACCGCCTTAAGTCGCTCGATGAAGCACCACCACCATCATCATCACCATCACCAGCTGAAGGACAGCAGCAGCTGATCGAGTCAATTCAAATGCTAATCAGCCGGTGGCACCTCGTCTTCGCCAAGTTCCAGACGCTGCTCAGCCAGCTCGAGGAGATATCGCCCTCGACGACGCTGCTCGAGCCGGAATTCGCGCAAATTAACCGCTGGATCGAGGAGTCGGTGCAGTTCCTCAACGAGGCGATCGCCGTCGGCTGTCTGGACACGTTGGCGGAGCAGCTGTGCGAGTGTGAACGCCTCAAGGACTACATGGAGCGCTCGGTGGAGAAGAGCTTTCAGACGATTCTGAGCACCGCCAAGGAGGCGGTGCGCATCCTCCTCGGCGGCAAGAACAACTTCGAGGTGCCCGTCATTGCCACCATCCAGGAGACGTGGGCCAACCTGGGCCAGCGGACGCTGACTAAGCTGGACCGGTTGCGACTGGCGCAGGAGCTGACGCAGCGACTGATCAGCTCGCTGGAGGAGCACCAGGCCTGGCTGAGGGACTTTGAGATTGAGATCTTGAGAGAGGGCGGCCGGGAGGTGAACGAGGAGGAGCTGGCCACGCGGTACGGCGAGCTGAAGGAAGACGCCGTAGAGGAGTTTAACTGGAGTTCGGCCATTCCGGGGAGGCTGCAGCTGAAGCGGCTGCAGTCGAAGCGGTCGGAGTACCTGCGCGCCACCCTGGAGCCGCCCGATTCGCTGCTCAGTCAGATGCAGGCTTTCTACAGCGGCGGCGGCCAGTCGAATCACGTTTTTGATAAACTGAAGAGGCGCGCCAAGACGGAGGTGGTGCGCGCTTTTGACGCGCTGGAGAACAAGTTGAAAACGAAGATCGCCAAAACGGAGGCTCGGCTAGGCAGCCTTACGCGTCTGGTAGTGCTGGTGGGGAAGGAGCAGGCGCAGCAGGCGCACTTCAAACGGCTGCTGGCTGATGTGCAAACCAAACAGCGTAAGGCGATGGAAAACACCGAAGACGCGCACATTGCACTGAAAGACCTGGAGAAGGTTCTCACCGAGTCCATGTCTGTTAGTCGTCAAAGTCGACTGGATGAGATTCAGAGCTTTCTGACGGCCAGCTCAGACTTGGTGCAGTTTTTGCTTGATTCAAACCAGGAGGCAATTATTGAAGATCAACAGAACCAACTGGAGCTAATACTAACTGAAGACACTCGATTGCGCGCACAAACGGAAGCCGAAGTGGAATTGGTTGAAAAGTTTTGTTCAGACTGGAAAGAGTGCGACAGTCGTCTTTGCACACTGCAAAAGTGGTTTCAGGAGAACACCATCGAGTCGGTTTCTTCATCTGAAATCTTCAGCAAACAGGAAGAGCTGCACTCAATTAAAAAAGTGTACAGTGACAAGTTCTCCGCCTTCCGCACGGCCAAGTCTCGCCTTGAAACACACGTTGAGCTAGTTCAGCAGATCATCAATGAGTTCACGCGTGATCAACTGTCGCAAAAGGAGAAACTACCCAAGTGCGACAACTTTGAAGAGCAGATCAGTCAAATGGAGCAGTTTCTAGCCGACCTTGGCCTGGTGATCAATGAAATGGAGGTGACGCTGGATGAGGAAAACTTTCTCGCCCTCTCTCAAGATCAGAGCTATTGTCCAGAGTCGGAGCTGCAGCTAATACCGGCCATGCTGCAGAAGATGCTTGACACAGTGTGCGTCAGCTATGACGATCAGCTGAATGAGTTCAAGCTCCAGCTGAACACGCTAACGTCGAGCACCTATGTGAACTCAAAGTTTGAAAAACGACTCAGAGAACTGGGCAAAACTCACGAGGCGCTGGTAGGCGCCCTGCAGCTACGCCGCTTTCTCCTCGAGGAGCTCATTGAGCTGTGCGGCCAGATCAACAACAAGCTGATTGAACTGGAGGAGGAGTGCTCCAAGGTCTTCTCCATCGACAAGGCCGCCGTGCAGGAGGCAGATCTGGCAGAGATGAAGCAAAGCAGCCATAAGATTCTCTCTGATGTGTGTCTGCTGAAAGAGCGACTGGACATTCACTGCATCCGCCACTCGGAAATACTGATCGGCATTGAAGAGGTGGGCGCTCGCTACGATGAGATCATCACAGAGATTGCCGAGCAGTACGTTGATGTCGACGGAGAAGAGGAGGAGGAAGAGGAAGAGGAGGAAGTGCTCGAAAACGAGGGAAGTCTTATTAGCGGCGATGGGAACTCTCAGAGCAGTTCTGAGCAGCAAGTTCGCTACCGGCAGACCAATTTGGCCTCCACTAGCTCCGCCGCCGCCGCCGCCGCTGCCGCTGCAGCCCACTTGAGCACCATCACCGAAGAGGCGTTTTCCACTCCGCCTGTCGACGCCTCTACAACAACAACGACCACAACCTCAGCCTCAACAACAGCTGAAACAGTGGCGGTGGCCACCAAAACTAGTCAGATCATTCCGGCAATCACCGTGTCCTCGCCGGCTAAAGAGGTGCCCCCCGTTTCGACGGCCGACATTGAGACGGTGAGGGAGCTGATTCGCCGTTGCCCGTACTCCGTCAAGCCGTACATTGCCCAGTTGCAGGCGCTGGAACGCAAAATAAACTCTATCAGCTGCTCCACAGGGTTGACCTCGGTCGTCTCGCGGGGAGCACCGAAACTGTCGATCGCCCTGGTTGAGGATGAACTCCACCGACTGAACAAGTGTCTGAATGAGGTGCGCGTCCCGTACGAGTTGGCGCTTTGTGCCGCCTCTGTTTCCGGTCTGATGATGGCCGCCAATCCCAGTGACACCTCAAAGGCAGTCAAAGCAGACAAACAGTCATCATCTTCATTACCAGAAAACGGTTCTTTACCAGTTGAACCTAGCTCAAAGTGGGACGAGTACAGCAGCGGCGTCGTCAGCTCTCTGACCGCTCTTCAGTCTGAGTTTGGCATCTCCTGGAACCGCTTCCTCTCGCTGCACCGACACTGGTGGCTGGTGCGAGACGCAACGCTGCAGTTTAACTCGGAGATCCGCAAGCTGGCCGACTGGTTCGAGAACGTCGAGCTGCAGCTGACCAACGGGCGCATCACTACGGTGAACATCGACGACACGCAGCCGTACGGCTGCTTCACCTTCGACGCCGACGATCTCAACTACCCGAATGTCGCCCGCACGCAGCGGCTGCTGATTGCGCAGCTGGGCAGTCACATTGCCATCTACGCAAAGATTCAGGTGCTCTACAACCGCCTGGTGGCCTGCTTCACGCCAGACGACGACGACGAGGACGAGGGCGCCAACAAAGGTGTTGGTGATCAGATGATGATGAACAGCAGCTCTTCTGCGTGGTCCTTTGAAGACCGGAAAGCGCTGCTCGATGCGCGGAAACGCATTGAGCACGAGTGGAGCCAGGTGAGTCAGCGCTGGAGGGCCATTATCCGCGAGCTGGCCTGGCGCCGAGAGTGCCTGGTGGCGTTGGCCGCCGGCACGCTGGTCACCTACGTTTCCGGCTACCCGTACAAGCGCGGGGTCGACGCAGACTTTGATAAGGTCCTCGCTGATTACCTGCGCTACGAGTCGGCAAGCAGCAGCAGCAGCACAGGCAGCAGCGGCTCAAAAACGTCTGAACCTGTTGTTGGTACCCACTGGTTCCAGCTGGAGCAGCTCACCCAGTGGCAGCGTGACACTGAGGAGGGCCTGGCCACCCTTCGCTCCACCTTCACCATCAGCGACATCGAGTCCTCGCTGAAGCTGTCAAGTCGGGTGCGCGAGTACCAGCAGGACCTGTCGCGGCAGCTCCTCAACTGGATGGTCATCACGCAGGAGCCGTTCACTGATGCGGCCGTGGTTCGACGAGTCAGCTCGCCGCAGCACGGGCAAACCTTGAGCGCTGAGAAGCGGGCAGCCATTGATGACTCATTTCAAAAGGTATGAGATGTTTCTTAAAACTCTTAAAACCCCTTTAATAATTCTTAATTTTTTTTATCTGAAAACCTTCTTTAGATCACCTTAAACCTCTTTGAGGTGTCCTACTTTACGGAGGTTTTCTCCACCTGTTTTGCCTACATCAACTCGCTGACCAGGACGGAGCTGGAGTGGGTGGTCAGTGCACATGAACATCTCAATTCAATTGAGGACTACCTGGCAGTGCGTTCCATCGACTCTGCCACTTCATCTAGTACATCTACTACCTTTGAACTTCCCGTCGACTCGCTGGCGTTCGTCGCCTCGCTCAAGGACCACCTGATCACCCACGAGAACAACATCGAACAGGTGATGACGATCGTCAATGAGCTGCGCCAGCACGGGAAGGTGCAGCTCTCGCTGGACCTCCGCCTGGACGGCTTCATGCGCCACTTTGAGACGCTTTCCGCCCTTCGAGCACGCCTCCTCGGCCGGCTACGAGCCGCCGGGCTGACGGTGTGGGCGGCGCTGCACCACCTGCTAAAGCAGTGCTACAGTCGACTGCAGTCATACCGGTCACTGCTGCAGTCCAATCGAGCGGCGGAAGAGGCTGAGGCGGCGGCGGCGGCAGCTGCGACGACCATTTCCGCCACGCAAATGTCTGGCTCGCTTCGATCTCACCAGCGGTTTCAACTTCAGCAGCAGCAACCGCAGCAGCAGTCTCGCCACCTTCGACAGCAGCAGCAGCAGCATCAAGCGATCAGCAGCTCGGCGGGCAACTCGCTGCACCGGCAGCAGGCCACTTTCCGACAGCAGTCAAAGATGGTCGCCGATTTGCGATCCTACTACCAGGCCGCCTCGCAGCAGTTCAACTGCTGGCTCGCCCTGGAGAGTCACATCCTCGCCTACTACTGTGCCCTCTCTCAGCAAAGCGGAAGTGTCCAGGTGGATTCCTCATCTCCAACCGTCAAGGCAACGTCTGCTGAAGAGGAGGACGTTCAGACGACCAAGTCGACGTCTGCTGGAGCCTCAACAACAACGCCCGTCATGCAACCGGCGAGGGTGCTCAAGTTCACTATTCGACGATGCGAGGTAGGTGCACTTTTAGTATTTTTACCTTTTTTGCCGTACATAAAGTGTTTGTTTTTTGCATTTTTAGCGTAAACAATAGTCAAGTTGCGATCAGTGTTAAAGAATAGAGTAGATTTCTGTGCTAGATTTTCATGTTTATTAAACTTGTTGATTAAAATATTTGATGTTTTCAAAACAGTTAGTTAAATCGGAATTTTTCCAAGCAGTAGCACAACTGTGTTATTCTATTAAGCATGTTCTAGCTTGTCATTGCAATTGTTGATTGAAATATCTCACAAATTAACACCTAATTAAAATGCACTGTATTCCCTTTTGTTCAATTTTTAAAACTAAACTTTCTCAACCGGAACTAAATAAGCATGTGTTTCTATACTTATCCTTTGTGCTAAACGTAATTGAATACTAGTGGTTGAAAAAAGTTTGTAAAATATTTATTATAGTTTAAAATGAAAGTTTTTATCAATGTGGTTAAATAAAACAAACATAAAAATCCAACAAGCTTTAATGTTATTTTCATAAAATATATTTTATTGGCATTTATCGTTAAGTTTTAATGTTTATTTTTTAGTATTAAGTATTTTAGATTTTTTTTCTTTTTAAAAACTGTCAAAATGTAATGTTTTTTAATAAAAATTTTGACATTTTGAAGTTAGAATAGTTTTGGCAGTTTTTCAATTGAGTTGCTTTTTTACTTTTACTGCAAATTATTTTCTTGCTTTTTCACGCTTCCATTCACTTAACTAGAACAAGTTTGAATGTGCGTGTTTAGTGTCGGTTATGTTTTGCCGACACTGCTGAGGTTTTTTGTATGTTTTTAATTTACGATCATTTGGCGTGCAAACTGAAGCAGAAATGCCTACAAAGTACTTGGTTGAAAGGTANTGTTTAGTGTCGGTTATGTTTTGCCGACACTGCTGAGGTTTTTTGTATGTTTTTAATTTACGATCATTTGGCGTGCAAACTGAAGCAGAAATGCCTACAAAGTACTTGGTTGAAAGGTAGCAAACTGAAAAGAAAAAAATGTCAAAAAATCAAATATCGTTTGTAGCATGTAAAAATGAATAAGTGTACAAGAGTTTTTTGAGAGTTTATTATTTAGTTCTTTGCGGTTGAGTGTGCTTGTTTGCAAATGTGAATAAGTATTTTAAAGGTGAAAAAAACACTGAAAATCAAAATTGTTTTTGTTTTGGGTTTTTTGTGGCTACTTTTTGACAAAATATTTTACAAAAAATAGTCAGCGCAAATAAATGAGTGTTTAAGTGTATTTAAAACTATTTTTTATTAAACAGTTTTGCGTAATTTAAAATAGCAAAGCAATGTTTTATAAAATATAAAACTTACAGTAATTTTATAAAACTAACAATTTGTTAAATTAAAATTTTTTTGCATTTGTAACTTTTTTTTATTGTTGTGTTATGTTTTAAAATTCAAACTGTGAGTGCACCTGTTTTATGTAGTTTTTTATGTATGCATCTGTTGCAAAAATTGACCCTAAAATGTCAGCAAAAACACATTAATTATAAAACTCATATTTCAAAGTAATTAGCCTGCCACGTCTGTGGCATAGTAAAATCACGCAAAATTATTTTATTCATGTTAAAACAATTAATCACAATTGCAGAAAGGCACTTGTTTTTACTGTTGGGTAGTTTTTGCAAGATTATTAATCGATTTTGTCAGTTAAACTGTGTGTTTTTCTAGTAATATTTTAATTGGCCAATTGGCCATTTGAGCTAAAATTTTAAATATAAATATTATGTGTTTGTATAAGTAACCTTTTACGCCAATTTTTTTAAACTTTTTTTAAATTATTAGTTTTATAATTGTTTAAATAAATTCAAAAACACTAGAATTAATGGTTGTATCAAAATTGTGCAAATTTTAAAACAACATCGGTTTAAATCAAAAATTTGTTTTTTAAATAATTTTATTTTTTTTGTTTTTGTAATAACTTTCACGTTTTTAGTTGAGTTACCTAAGTCTATTGTTTTTCTTGTTTTCTGTTTAATTCTTCTTTTCGCCATTTTGTTTCACTTTTAACTAAGGTCATAGACTACTGATTGATCGACTAAATTTAAACCAAACAAAATTGAAGTGAAGTTTTCTTGTACGGCAGTGTACTGCGCCCATTGCTGGCACGTGCTTTGAATGCTGCCAACATTGGTGAGCATTTCCGGAAAAAGTGAGAAAAGGGAAAACGGAAAGAGCGAGGTGAAGTGAAGTAAAGTGAAGTAAAGTGAAGTAGAGGCAGTGCTGGTAATTCGTTAATGCATTACCCAGTCAGTCAGTCAGTGCCTCACTGAGATGAGTTGATGGGCACCGATTTGAGAGCCGGTGAGGGCCGGCAATTGGCAGCTCATGTCAGGGCTCTAAATTGCCGTCTTGCCTGCCTTCCTGCCTCACTGCCACCACCAGCCAAAGTAGTCAATCACAACTGTACGGTGGCAGAAGTGCACTACTACTTACACTGATGCCCTGTCAAATCTGCATCAGTGCACTAGTTTGGGTATCCGCCTCCTCCTCCTCCTCCTTCTACTACTACTAGTAGTAGTAGTTTGCTGCTCCTGCACACAACTCCCGTTTTTTCCATTCTATTGATCCATTTATCTAAATCTTTTCCGTTTATGTACAGTTGCAGAAGGAGCCGTATTGAGAGTACTGCAGGCAGTAGTAAGGAGTAGCAGTGGCAATTAGCTCACTGAAATTGGTCGTTAGTTTGTCGATTGCCTGCCAATGTTATGTTGTATCATTTCAAAGAGCGAGAAAGAGAGAGAGAAAGAAAGAAAGTGTGTGTGTGCTGAAAAATTACTAACTGCACAGTGTGGACACAACCATTTAACTTTTTGTTTTAGATGTTTTTATTTTATTTTTGTTTTAGAAAAAAAATGTTGTCAAAGATAGTTTTATAGTGTGTGTATGTGCGTTGAGTTTTTATGTTTTCTTTAAGACAAATCGATGGTGTTTTGGCTATTTTTCTATCTATCACTCTCCATTTCACTTACCCACCCACTTTGCTAATGCAACTACAAAAGAGACATTTTGAACTTAAAGCTTTTTTTCTCTTACAACTACAGTTTTAGTACCCAGTAGTTGAGCTAATATCGACAGTTAAA